GCCGTTGCTGCTGCTGCCTATGTCCGCTGCATCGCCGCCGAGGCCGCGCCCGCCCTCGTGCACGGCCACCGCCGTCAGCTTCACCGGGTGCCACGTCACCGCCGCCGTGTCGCTGCCCCCTCCGCCCGCAGCCGCCCCTCCTCCTCCCCCTCCTCCGCCGCCGCCGCTGCTCGCACCGCCGAGGCTCCCGAGCGGCCGCTGCTTCTGGCGTTCGAGCAGCACCGTCGTCCCAAGCTGCAGCTTGTCCTGTGACACGTTCAGCCACCTCGCGCCGCAGCTGCCGCACCGCAGCACCGCGACCACCGCTCCGCCTGCAGCGGCGCCGGTGGCAGCGGGGGCGCTGGCGTTGGCCAGCGCGCCACAGTGCGGGCAGGACTTGGGTACCAGCTCCCCGCGCGCCGCGGGCGACAGCTCGCCGCGGCCCGCGGCGTCCGCCTGCCGCAGCGCCGCGCGCACCGGGGGCGGCAGCGACGAGAGCACCTCCTCCACCGCCGCCGCCGCCGCCTCGGCCGCGGCCGCAGCGGCGGCCTCGGACAGCGGTGCCGTGGAAGCTGAGGTGGCGCCGGTTTGCGGAGCGTTGGGTGGTCCAAACAGCTGCGCATGCTTGCGGCGGCGCTCGATTATGGTCTGTGTGTGGCCTGCGTGCAGCGCAGGGGTTGAGTATGGGCGTCGCGATGGAGAGCCCAGGCTTTGTCGAGGTGCAAAATCAGAGTTCGTTGGAGTGGCAGGAGGCATAGCTGTGGGTGGCAGAATGATTGCATATATTTGCATGTGAGTGGAGTTGCGACCAGCACCCGCAGCAGCAGGGAGCCTGGCCACTCTGCGGCCGAAGCCTCTCACCCAGAACCCCCGGCAAGGGGTTGGCCGGGCTGGCGCCGAACCACTCGAGCAGCTGCTGCCGCCGCGCCTCGCCGCTGCCGGACCAGCCCTGCTGAAGCACCCAGTCCTGCCACGTAGAGACACGCGCTGCACCCACACCACGTGACGGCTGCTGAGGGGGCGGCGATTGTTGCTGCTGCTTCTGCTGCTGCTGCCGCTGCTGCTGCTGCTGCTGCCGCTGCTGCTGCTGCTGCTGCTGCTGCTGCTGCTGCTGCTGCTGCTGCTGCTGCGATGTTTTTTCTGTCACGTGGTGGACAAACGCCTGGTCTGAGCCACCCGGAAGTTCCTGCTGCTGCCCCTGCTGCTGCCCCTGCTGCTGCCTCTGCTGCTGCCCCTGCTTTTGCAGGTGGCTCGGCTCCCCAGGCCCCTCCACCCGCAGCCCCACCGCCGCCACATCTGCGACGAACAAGTCCAGCCCGCCGCCGCTTCTGTTGCCGATGCGCGCCGCCTCCACTGCTGCTACCCCAACCGCCGCTGCGCGATTTTCCTGGCTCTGCGTGGCTGACACCTCACTCGCTTCCAACCAGTCATGGGCCGCGGCCCGCGTCGCACCAACCTGCTCCTGCCGCAGCTGCTGATGTTGCTCCTGCCGCTCCTGCCTTTGCCCGTGCTGACCCCCCTGCCTTGCGACGCCGCCCTCGCCCGCAGCGCTCGAGGCGGCGCGCCCGCCGCCGCCTGCGCTTCCCGTCGCTGCGGCCCCCAGCAGCGCCACCTTGGCGGCCGCCTCGTCAATAAGGTCGATGGCGCTGTCGGGCAGTCGTCGATCAGGCAGGTACCTGCGTTGCGGAGGAATGCAATGACAAGGCTTTAGCGTGGGACCCAGCAGATGGTGGCATGGGGCAAGGTCAGGCCCAGTCTGCAAAGCTTGGGCGAGCCCCAAGCTGTATGGTGCCATGCGGGACGCAATGGATGTCAGGCGACCAAAGCGGCAGCAATGCGCGAGTTCAGCTGTGCCAAACAGGTCAACGACCGGCGGGTGCAAGGGGCATGCGGGCAAGCAACCGGGCAGCATCCCCAATCCGGCGCGCCGCGGGCAGGGGATGCGGCGGCGCTCCGCGCCTCACCTCTTGGCGGACGCGGCGGCGGTGGCGAGCGCGGCTGGTGCGTAGTGCACGCGGTGGTGCGCCTCGTAGCGCGGCGCCAGGCCTTGCAGCAGCTGCAGGCACTCCTCCTCTGACGGCTCCTCCACCAGCACGGGCTGATGGGGGTGCCGGGTGGGATGGGATGGGGTGGGGAGGGG